GCATAAAACAAAGTCAGACAATATTAATTTGAAATTTCCAAATTAAATCGAATTGGTACATCCTAAAAATTTGGTTTTATTTAATCCTCTAGAATCAAACTTGCAATGGATTGTATAGACTTATACAATTTTTTCCTTCCTTAAATTAAGTAATTTTTAAATTCAAAATAATAAAGATATAAATTATCAAGAAAGACGTTTTACAATATTCATTATATTTGACAATACATTCTTCATAAAACCAGTATAAATCATATAATATATATTCTGCTAAATAATTTAATTGGTTTATTTAAGTCTATCTAGAATCCTAATATAATTTGTGATGATAGATTATGTACCAAAAGACCAAACAAATAATATTGTGTGCAAGGATTTGTTTAATAATATATAAGTTACATGTTGTTTTATTCTAATACATGCGTTTTACGTTCTTACAATCATCCAATCATCCAAAATTTAAATTCTTACCTTAATAAAACTAGCACGTACATCGCACGGGTACCACACTAGTCCATACTTACAAATAACTCATCTATAAGTAGACCTCACTATCATCAATCAACATTATCAATATAATTAAATAATACCAAACAATTACTCTTACAATCACATCAATTTTAATTCACTATATATCTACTCACATAATTCTAACTAACCATTAATTCACCTTATTTCTCTCATATTTTTACATTAAATAAATTATAATTATTTTATTTTAAATAATATTTTAATATAAAATTTAAAATCTTACAAGCAACTAATCTACAAACTTTTTCAATATTAATAACTTAATTAAATAATAAAAAAAAAAAAAACTCGTTTTCAACGATGTATTTACATCCAAACAGCCCTAAACTTACCATTAGGGCCTCATAGTAATTACGCGGAAGTATATACTCCAAGTCTGGTAACAGTAACCAGTAGCAAAAGCACAAAACCTCTCACTAGGGTTTTAAAGCTTCCCACAGTAAATCCATGGCGTCGTCTATCTCTAGAAAACTCTCCGGCGCGATATTCTCCAAATACAGACAAAATACCTCAGTATCGAAGCTGAATTCTCTTCCTTCCTGCACCAGAACCCTATTTTCCGCAGAAAACGATTCACACTCCGAGTCCGACTCGGAACTCGCCCCACTCACCCCCGATCAGTCCCCTCCAGACCAAAAACCGGCCGTCGTCGAACGGACGCTCGAGGACGGCCTGGAACTCGGTATCTACAAGGCAATATTGGTTGGGCAGCTAGGGCAGGCGCCTATCCAGAAGAAACTCAGGAGCGGCAAAACGGTCACGCTGCTGTCCGTGGGAACTGGAGGCATTAAGAACAACCGGCGGCCGCTGGATAACGAGGACCCGAGGGAGTACGCCAACCGCTGTAACGTGCAGTGGCATCGGGTTTCCATCTACCCGGAGAGGCTGGGTGACCTCGCCTCCAAGAATTTCGTCCCTGGCTCGATCCTGTACGTGGAAGGGAATCTGGAGTCGAAGGTCTTCAATGACCCCATCACGGGCCTCGTCCGGCGGATTCGAGAGGTGGCAGTCCGGAGGAACGGGCGGGTTGTGTTCCTGGGGAACGGAGGTGGTTCGGAGCAGACGTCCAGAGCTAATGTCTCAGGCGTTGGCTATTACTGAGGTGATTCTGCTTTTATGTTATTGAAGTTATGTTCCTTTGAACTGCTTATTGGAAGGCCAAAAATGGAGTGGTAAGGGGCAAATTTGTGATTTGCATCCTGTGGATTAGTCAGATTTTTTCCTCAGAATCTTTGGAGTAACTTATTTCAGTGCTTGTGAAGAATGTGCCAAGCTTTTTCGCGGTTTTACTGAACTGTTTTTCTTTTGTCTTCTTTTGTGTTGGTGCAGTATATTCTGTTTTTTCGAAGGTTGTGATTATTGGGCTAGAAGCTATCTCGAAATGAGTGTTTTAGGATGATTGCCTAATTTAAAAATTTGGTTAAGAGATTTCAATAATTTTGTGATACATTGGTTAGGATAATCAAGATGCTAACTTGATGTTATGTGAGGTGGTAGGTTTTTGGTTTTCGCGAGACCAAAGTATAGTATAGACCAAGTGGCTTGGCTAAAAGTCACCGATCATTGTTTCATATACCTTCCGATTTTGTAAAATTTTCAGAACCTGCTTATTCGAAATTAAGGTGTATAACAAATGTTATATTTAGCCTTTAGGTTCGTGTTGTGCACTATGTGCTTGATAATAGAGAAAATAACATACTAAGAGCACTCTTACAAATTTATTTCTTCATTGCCTGTACAAAATTATTTATTCTGTATGAAATATAATTATTAGTTATAGCAAACTAGTGGCAGAGTGCTGGAATAGTTTACGGAAAGAAAGCACCAGAAACCACTAAATACTGTTGACTGCTACATTTCATCTCGCACTGCTAGCTTCAGTTGTCAGGCCAAACCCAAACGGGAAAAGGGGATCATAATGTGGGTCCCCTACGTTCATGGGAAGCTGCTCGACCGACTTAAACCAAGTCCTGGCGAGTTTTCCCGTGAAACCGTAGTTCCCAAATAGGAGGTCGGCCACGCCTTGGCCTTCTGTTCCCGGAAGCCATGCGGCCACGAGTGCGTCCATCTGGGCAAGAAAGGGCTCGACTGTGAGTGGGCGCCCAGATATGATGACAACCACACATCTGAGGGCCCCACAGACGTTATTAATTGTGCTCGGCCCTGGTTCGGCTATGCTTAGGTTCTTGCTGTCTCCAAACATCTCGGCGTATGGGACCTCGCCCACCACCACAATTCCATAAGAGAAATTGTTCGACCTCACGTAGTCTTCGGTGGGGTTTTTCTTGTAGACGACTCGGGTGGAAGGATCGACTGTATTCTTTACAGCCTTTAGGATTGTGGTTCCTGCAAAAAGGTTTTGTTCCCAGTGGTCTCATTTCTACTGATCAACTATTTATCACAATGAAATCTCGATTGTTTCCAACTTTTTTCAGTCAAAATCCTCATTCCCGCTTTACTCTTTTTTTTTTTTTTAATTGGAATATCAAAGCGTCTCTAGCCTATCAATTGCACCTCATCTTCTAGGGCCCAGCCCACTACCACCACTAAAATCATGTATATATTTTAAAAAGACCCGCCGTTTTCAGTCTTTGAATATTATTTTGAGTATTCAAATTGGAGCGCTGAAAGTGGACCGTACATAATCATACACAAGGCCTTATTTTTTATTCGAACATCAGGAAAGTGTTTCTATTTTGAGAAGGTAGCTATAGATATGAAGGAAGAACGTAGGATCTTTTATTAACTTGTGAGAAATTTCATCGAACATAATAATAACAAGTAAAAATAGTTAAATACGTACCAACTATGAGATCATTGCCCTGAACGCCCTGCCATTTCACTGTCCAGCCTCCACATTGATAGCCGAGATCATCAGCATGAGTTCCTGCTACTAATATCTTGCTTGCCTTCTTTTTGAGGGGAATTAATGGCCGATTAGAACTCTTAGTATTCTTCAAAAGAACAAGTGACTTTCTCACGGCTTCCCTTGCCAGTGTTCTGTGTTCCTGTAAAACGAATTCTAGTTTAAACGTAAATGAGTATAAAAATCAGGTGTAAAGTTCTGCTGCATAGCTCGGCAGCTGACTTGATAACCTGACTTCCGAGCTGGTTAACCAAGCTTAGATCAGTCAACGGGTTCTCAAAGAGACCCATGACAAACTTGACCCGTAATATCCTCCTCACAGCATCATTTATTCTTCTCATCGGTATGATGTTGGTCTTCACTTGAAAAGTCAGAATATCGATGAACTCCATAAAATTTTCGGGGAGCATAACCTGCAGTAAATACGGCACTGACATTACCATAAGTATCTAAAACCCTCTCAACTTTCATTACTAACAAATATGTCTGTCTTCGAATTCTGCATAAATGATTAGTGTTTTAATAAACAGTCGAACCTAACCATGTCTAGTCCGGAAAGAACTCCAGCTTGAACTGAATAAGAGTAGTTTGCCCCTGGAGGGGTCGTAATCCTATCGATACCCTTCCAATCTGATGCGACAATACCCTGAGATTAATGAGTACGTCAACTTAGTAAGATCACTTCTTTGAACGGCCACAAAGAAGTCAAAATCACGAATCATTTTGCTTTTTTACCTTGAATTTAAGCGTTTTCTTGAGGTAATCTGTGAGAAGATCATGATGCGCGTGCATCTTTGCTCCATTCCAGCTAGAGTAACCCACCATGACAGTTGCAACACCTTTCACAATCGAGTCTAAGTATGGGGGCATGTGGATGCTAAGCAACCCTTGAAAATCGATCATGGTATTTCCCTCATCTAGACCTCCAATTGTACCACCATCCCCCACAAATTCCTTAGCGCAAGCCGCAACTTTTGTTCTTGGATAATAAATGGGATTATATTAAAAGAGAATTCCACCAAGGTAAAGCAGTACTTGAGTCTAATTTTGAGCTGTGAAAAATTGAATTAGGCATCTTTTTTTTTATTTTATTTTATTTTTTAAATCACTTAACCCAATTTTTAATGGAGGGAACAGAAATTAGAGGAGATATAGAGTCATACTTGCCAGCAACAAAGGGGATGCCCTTTCGTTTACCAGGCGGGATGTCACCCTGTAAACCGGTTATGCTCTCGGTCATTGCACGAACAATCTCAGGATCCTCACTGTAGCTTTCGTAACACCGGCCCCACCTTGGGTCCCTGCAGACCTATATGAACACAAATATATTATAGAACAAGATATCCTTATAATTAATCTCGAAACATTTTAAAAACACCACGATGACATGTTCTATAACGATTATAGTTTTGCCGTTTTTACTTACAGCAAGTCCGGGCGCAAAAGTGTATGGGATTCCTGTGGCTCTAACTTCAATTGCAGTGGCTGCACCAATCCTTTTCACAAGGTCTGGGTCTCTGTTTGCATCATCTCCCGCATTAGATGCTTCTCTTTGTCTTTTGATAAGACTTGATATGTAGTAACATGATGAAGCATTGCAAAATAAATTACTTTGAGCTGTGTAATGAATTCGTTGTGATGGGGTTCCCTTCACATATGATGCAACTAGGGTTGCAAACGAGCCAAGGTGAGTCGAATATTGGCCTTATTGAGCTTTGAATGATTTTTTTTTAATGCTGCTCGAGCTCGACTTTTTAAGGTTCATATTGACTCGAAAAAAGTATAAAAATGTTCAAGATGCGCTCGAATTTTGTTTAAGTTCGGCTCTAAGTTCAAATAATAAATTTGTATTACAATAAAAAGTATTTTCTTGAGTCAGACTTGAGTTTAGCTCGAGGTTAGGGGTATTTAGATAAATTACATCTATATTTGAGTGGCACTTGGAGCACTTGAGCTTTATAATATACCAGCTGGAGTTCAGCTTGAATTCGAGTTTGAGGTGCTCGAGCTCGATTCGTGCTCAGTCAAATTCGAGTGAGCCGCTCGATTTGTACCCCAATATACAAATCTTTTACATGCCTTGATTTGTTTTCTTAAGCTGTTCACACGAGCTTTTTTTTTTTTTTT